ATCCCGGAATTGTGGCGCTATGTACATGCAAATGGATGTCGAAAATTTTGTTATAATAAGATAAAAATATTTGCCACAATTCAATTACAATTTATAATAACATTAGTTGTAGCTTAATGTTAAACATATTCACATTATGTACAGTGGCTTAAATACACTAATTAATTAGCCAGGCTAGAACCTCCAAATGTTAAGGTGGAGATACCACCTTTGAAGGATTCTAGGGAGGGTGACATGCAAATTGTTTCTGGGAGATCGTTCCAGACAGCAATAGTACTTGGGGAAAAAAGATGATTTAAAAAAGTCTTTATTTGTATATATATGTCGAAATTTATGTAGGCCTCTAGTTCGCCTGTCAGATTGTGTCAGGACGTCATTAGTGACTTCGACCAACCCCCCAATTAATCTTATAAATCAAGACAAGCTTAGCTTTTGTTCTACGGGATTGCAAGTTTTCCCATTTTAGTTTGTTTAACATACCAGTGACAGCACCTGGTGATCTATCGTTATAGTCATTAAAAACATATCTTGCTGCCTTACGCTGTATCTGCTCAATTTTGTTTATTTGGCTTTGTTTGTACGGATCCCAAACTGGTGAGGAGTTCTCGATGGTCGGACGCACTAGTGATGTGTACGTAAAGTTTTTAACCTTATGCGTACAATTTTTCATGTTTCTACGTAAAAATCCTAGTGTTTTATATGCCTTTGAAGTTATATTATTAATATGGGCCCCCAATCAAGATCATTGCTTATTGTAACTCCTAGATACTTGCTGTCTTTGACAGATTCAAGTACATGGTTATGTAATTGATATTGAAATAAATTAGTTTTCAACTTTTTAGAAATATTTATGACATAGTATTTTTCAGGATTAAATTTCATTTGCCATTCAGATTCCCAAATTTCAAGGCTTGATAGATTTTTTTGGAGTGCTTGAGACTCATTTATATTATTTGATGTTTCATAAAGTAAACAGTCGTCAGCAAAAAGACGAACCTTACAGGAGACATGCTCAGGTAGGTCGTTTATGAATAACAAGAATAAAGTTGGGCCTAATACTGTAACCTGAGGAACACCAGAGTCAACAGCTAATTTGGAAGATTGAACACGTTAAGCAGGACTTGCTGTTGCCTGTTTGACAAAAAATCTTTTATCCAAAGTAAGTTATTTTCCTGTATACCATAATAATTAAGCTTTGTTATTAACCTTTCATGGGGGACCTTATCAAAAGCTTTAGAAAAATCTAAAAGTATTGCATCAACTTGATTACCTTCTGCCAAGTATTTGGCTATGTCCTGGATGCTGATAACAAGTTGTGCTTCACAGGAACGTTTACTCCTAAAGCCATGTTGGCAATCATTTAAAATATTATTTAAATCTAAATGTTTTCTAATGTTACTTGTTAAGAAGTGTTCTAAAACCTTACAACATATAGCCGTTAAAGAAACCAGTCTATAGTTAATTGCATTATGCTTATCTCCCTTTTTAAAAATTGGCACAACATTTGCCTGTTCAGTCTTGAATCCAAACCCTACAGAGTGAAATTTTCATATCTTCTCTCAATTATAAAATGGTTAACTAAAGCTGTAAATCTGTCACCTGATGCTGATAAAGGGTCAGATAATAATACTTAACAAACAGATGTTTAAAACAAAAAACTGAGTTTGTAATAACAGTATAGATGATAATACACAATGTGTCCAGTTTCTGATATTACCATTCCAGAACAAGAACAATGAAATTAATTGAAATTTTGATTATTTTAACATTTTAATAACTACTCATGGAAATTAAATATTAAAAATGATGAAGGAAAGTTTGTGATGTTATAATTCCCTATACATTATTAAAAAAATTGAAATTTTTATTTGTCTTCTTATAATTTTTAATTTGTATTACATGTTTACATTTGTAATTAACTAAATATTCACATTTGTAAGACAAGACAAGACAAGACAAATACTTTATTAAAGTCTCACCACTTGTTACATATAAAATATACACTTTTTAAAACACAAGTTAACAACAAGAGCCACTCTATAAAGAGTTATGAGAGACTATAAAACAATTTTTCTTAAATTATAATACAAATACAAGTCAACTATCATGAGTATAAAATACATTTTCGCTTTATTAAAATTTCATAGCAGATTTTGGCAGTATAAAATACCATATTTTCATTTGTAAAAAGAAATATAAATTTTTCATTATCAGACATATGTAAAAAATTCTCATCAACAATACTAGCATGGTTAAAAATAACATTACGAATATCTGAATATACAGGACAGTTTAACAAAACATGTTTTTCATCTTCAACGTCATCACTACAGTTAAAACATAATCTATTTTCAATATCAATATTTTCATAACGACCAGTTTCAATTCTGATTGGTGCTACGCCACATCTAAATTTGGCTAAAGCACTCCTGTATCTACCTGGTATATTAAAAATCAAATAATTTTCTACACCATATACATTTTTAAACATTCTATATGTACGTAATTTATTTTTATCATCTGAAATAATTTTGTCATACCATTCTTCCTTAAATTTTTCAAAACATACATTTTCAATATTCTTAATTAAATCCTTGTTCAAAATATCACCATTGCACAAATATTCCATATCAAGTTCTTTAAACTTATTTTTTACTCTAAAATGCCAATTTTTTACTTTTTTACATGTGTTACCCCATATATACACTTTTTTATTTACTCTATTATCATTCATTTTATTAAATCGTGTCCAGTTTCTAAAAACACTAGTCCACTGTTTGATTTTGCACGGCATCCAGCCCATGTCACCATACAAAGACATATTAGGTGTGTATTTTCCTACACCCATGAAAAAACGCATGGCTCTATTTTTAATACTATTTATACATGAAAAATCACTTGTTCCCCATATAGAGGCACCATAATCTATTACAGACCATACAAGTGTATCAAATAATTTTGTAAATGTACAATATTGAAAACCACCGTTAGCTTTACATTTAGATATCAACAGACCCAACGATCTACTAGCGGCTTTAGCAACTGCTTTTGCCATATTATCATAGCTTAAATGCTCAGTAAACAATAAACCTATATATGTGTATTGGGAAACAATATCAATATTGTTACCATTAAACAAAAATGAAAAATTTGATCTAGATACAGACTGTGTTCTAAAATGTACTATTTTAGATTTTTCTAAATTGACAGTAAGGTCATTAGTACAACACCATATATTTAAAACATCTAATATTTTTTGTAAATCACCCTCACTCTCAGTGATAAAAACAAGATCATCTGCAGATAACAACATGTTAACTTTATGATTTTCAATGTCTATACCTATATTCAATTTCTTAACCTCATCAACAAGATCATTTATATAAATATTAAATAACAAAGGCGAAAGGATACACCCTTGTTTTAGACCACAATTTACATCAAACCAATCTGTCAAGTTACCATTTACTTTAACACAAGACTGTACATTGTTATAAAGAGAATAAAGTGACTTCAACATTTTAGAACTAATACCAATTGTTTTTAATTTACAAAATAATAAATTTCTATTTATCCAATCGTAAGCTTTTTTGAAGTCAATGAATGCCACATATGTTGATTGTTTACGAAGCTTTCTAGTTTCTATAATAGTAGACAGTGTACTTAAATGGTCGACAGTACTACGACCTTTTCTAAAACCGTTTTGTTCGTCACATAGGAAGTCAATATCATCAAGCTTATATGTTAGTCGTGAGTTCAATACTCCACAATACAGTTTGTAGGAAACTGGTGCCAAAGTTATACCACGATACGACAAGGGATCCCTCGGATCTGATGTTGAGCTTTTCGGAATAGGCGTTATAATCCCTTTTGACCACATTATTGGAACTTTACCAGAGTCAAAACAAATATTGAAAACTCTAGTTAGTGCATTTACATGTAACATAGTTTGGTTCTTGTACAATTCAACTGGTATTTTACTATTAATTCATTCATGCAATAATTACCACCAATTATCAAGAAAACTAAACATGTGGTATTCATCAACTAACAAACTTATAATTGGAGTGACAAATTTATTTGAAAATTTTGTGTTTTCTAAGTGGTGTTGGTGATAAGCTGATTTTCCATCCAACATCATTTTGATGCAAATTCTTGGGCATAGTTGTATGACTGTGTTTCCACTCTTCTGGGATTTTTTCCATCATTTATGGATTTTTGAAAAAAGAATACAAGGAAGGGGGATATCTCTTCTGAGAGTTTATTAAGGAAAATAGCAGGGATATTATCAGGCCCACTAGCTTTATGGGGGTTTATATTTTTAAGGAGTTTAATTATGCCATTGATATTAATGGTTATATCTGGCATGGTGGGGTAGGGACTTTTAGGTTTATGTGGCATTGAAGTTTTGTCTTCTTTAGTAAATGCACTTTTAAATTGTTCATTTAAAATATTTGATTGTGTTTGTGGATCACTATAAAGTAATCCATATTTACCTCTCAAAGGTGAGACTCCTGATGTTTCAGTCTTTTTCCCTTTTATATATTGCCAAAATGATTTTGGTTTTTCCTCCAGTTGTGGAATTATGATTTCTTCCATATATTTACTTTGGGCTTTCCTAATTTCTCTTTGAGCTGTTGCTTTAAGCTTTATGTATTTATCTTTGTGGATTTGTTTCCCAGTTTTTTTAGCTTAATTAAATGCTCGTCTTTGTTTTTTACATGAACTATCAATTTCTTTATTTGCCCAGGGATTTGTATATTTAGATTTTGTCATTTTACTTGGTATATTATCATTGATGATTTTAATTATTCCATCGGCATGGCATTGAAAATTATTTCTTAACTACAGCTTCAATTGTAAATTCACCCAACGTAGAGACAAAAGATGCGCCCAACAAGAAGATTTCTGACACTGCAATGCATGAAATTTGATTTCTCTTATCGTTTTTTTAAAGAAACGTACACTGTGCTCAAAGAGTGTTATGTTGATAAAGTTACCTTCTGCAATGACCCTTTTCACACGGAGTTTCTGATTTCCCAGCTCCACCATTTGACCAACAAAATCATTCTCAGCACCACCGGGACCACCACCACTTATTATCCCAAACGCCGACTTAAAAAAGTCTGTCATTTCTTATTACTTTATGATTTAGACTATCTGGACATTGTGACAGGCGTAGAGAGGTGACGTCAATTTGCCGGAAGTAACTCAATTTGCGATAATCATAAACAGCTAATGAAAGTATTCTCGTTCTACTGTATAGTGAGCAATTAGATATCAAATAGTCATTTGATTTTTAAATAAAGCCAAGAGTATCAATATAAATGATAAATGGAAAATGAAATGAGTTACGACTTTATGAGATGCCATATAACCACAAAACAACCAATTGAAGATTATACGGAAAAGAACACAAATTCTTTTCAGTTAATAAAAAATAAAGTTCTATACATACCAACAAAAAACTATTACGGGATAACTGTAGTATTTTTTTCTATCTATGAAGAAATAACCTCAAAAATGTGGTACTAGATATTATTTATGACGTCTTTACACTAAAGCCATTGGATGTTGGATGTGTACTAATTGATATTTTAGTCTTAGATGCATGATGATTTTTCTTTATTAGTCAGTGTTATTGGCTTTGAACTAACTGTCAGTAACTGGGTCATTATAAAAAAAAACATGCAAATATATTGTTATTTGGTCTTTTTTTAGTCACAGACATGAACATATATCAAAATAACACTTGTATATGTTAGATATGAATATTTTTTGATACACAACATACAGTTTACAGTATGAAATGTTATAAAAACATCCTTAATGTTTTCTGAAACCATTGGATATAGCCAGAATTAACTATTATTTTTTTCTATAGTACTGTGACCTTTCAGACCTGAAATAGGACTATTATTCATATTCTTTGTTATTAGGATTTATCCCTATTTATTGCATTTTGATATATACAAACATTTTTTAATGATTTGGAAAGTGTATGTTGGTTTTATAATAAAAATTTTCAACAAAAAGAAGAGTCTCATTCTTTTTAAGTCACTATAGTGTAACTAAAAGACAAATTGGTTTGGTAAGAGTTATCTTTCTCTAGATTTCAGCATTTACAATAGTTTCTCCCCTAGCAATGTTACCTGTAAGCATGTAATGCAGACGACAAAAAAAAATCTATGTTGGAAATTAGTGAAAAAATCTTAGAAGTAAGTACAAGCTGTATCGTAAATGAAATTAGTGTCCATGGTGTACCCCTAGAAAAATCATTTTCCGAAAGATTTCCTAAACTTTGATTTCTGAAAAGATATTGATTATAGAAACATGCACCAGGAACAACATATAAAATAGGGGAATGGAGCACTTATTTTGCAACTAAATCTAAAAATACACCAGTACGTCATTGGTGCCGTTACTGTCAATGGTGAGACCACTTTAATAAAGTAACACCATTGACCAGTTTAGTAACACCACTGAATATATTATGACAATCAGCATTTTTTTCTGTTCTTATCATGTTTAACAACCGAAACATCATTTTATTTATGAAATATAATACTTATTTAACAATATAATGTATTACCTACACCAAGTTTTCACAAACTGGTGTATGCTGGTAACACCAATGACACTATTTAGTAACAATATTGACATTTTTAGTTATTGATGTTATGTTATATAATTTGGCATTTTTTAGCCTAAGAATCTTTTTTTTCTTTTTCTTTTGCTAAGTGTTCTTTGTTTTGCCACGGTGTTCAGTACTTAATAAAAGTAAAATTTGAACTTTGTTGTCAATGGTGATACTTCTTTGTCATTGTAGTTACTGAAGGGTCAGTGGTGTTACTGTATAAGAATGCAATAATTTTTATTTTTTATTAACAAATGAAAGTTTTTTTAGGCCGTATACGAAGGATTAGGCATTAACTTATCATTCAGTCTTACACATTTTACATGTATTCAGTTTTAGTATATACTTTATTATCTTACCTCCTATAGATTTATAGAGATATGATTGGTTAAAGGACTACACGTGGTGACTATGTATATTTGGTATAGGGTGCCCTAAAAATACATGGTTAGTTACCATATAGGATTAGCAACCATATGGGGTTAGTAAGGAGTTACTTCCCTTTCAAAACAATAAAGATGCCACAACCCTTTATAACATAAAAACGACATGGTGTTGAGGAAAAATCTGATTCAACAAACGAAGAAATTGATGATGAAAGGTTGAAAAAAGTTCATAAAACATAATTAAAGCTAACAAGTTGTTATTGTTGGCATAACGGAGTTACTTCCCTTTCAAAACAAAAAAACTGAGAAATCTGAAAGGATTTAACAGACGAAGAAATAGTTTTAGTGTATACTTTAATATTAACAACAGCCATAATTAGTACAGCTACGTTTTTTACAACAATTTATTCTGAAATTTATGTTTAAATAGAATGCATACCTATAAAAATAATGTCAATAAGTAGTAATTTAACCCTTAACAACAAATTGGAACAGTTGTTTGGTAGTTAAAAATATTTTTTAATAACTAAATGCATGTTTTTATATTGGTAACACCATTGACATGATTCTATCAAAGGCCTTAAATTGTTTAAACTGATGGAACTCCTAATTTTCCCCATTGCATATTTCTGAATATAGCTGCTACCATATTTCAGAATAGCAGGACATATTTTTTAATTTTTAAAACAATGACATCAGTTTCCCGAAATTTACCTCATCGAAATATGCACGTTTTTTTTATAATGACCCAAGTTCTGCAAGTACTCTCAGATCTGTACTTAGTGTCTTTTTGTAGTGGAGATGTGTGTGTGTGTGTGGGGGGGGGGGGGGGGGGGGGGGGTGGGGGGGGCCTGTCCCATGTCAGGATCCTGTAATTCAGTGGTTGCCGTTTGTTGCTGTATATCATATTTGTTTTTCGTTCATTATTTTGTACATAAATCAGACCGTTAGTATTTAGTCTCGTTTGAATTGTTTTACATTTGTCATTTCGGGCCCTTTTATAGCTAACTATGCTGTGTGTGTTTCCTCATTGTTGAAGGCCGTACGGTGACCTATAGTTTTTAATTTCTGTGTCATTTCGTCTCTTGTGGAAAGTTGTCTCATTGGCAATCATACCACATCTTCTTATTTCTTTACACACCAAATAACCCGCGTAGCGTGTTATTTAAAAGTGTGCACCACATTTTTGAGTTATTTCGAATAGACAGTAAACATATTAGAATCATATTACAGTCAGCCCTTATGATTTAATTCTAAATCCATTTATAAGGAGTATATCATGAAAAAACGATGACGTGACGGTCACATGACAAAATTATGTCTATGAGCTGATAGACAAAAAATCTTTCAGCCAACCTGAAGACGTGTTGCATCCAAAATTAAGTTATAAAGTTATAACCGATATTTATGCATGAAAATCAAATTCAATGATATTGTTAAACAACATATTGTGTTTTTAAACTAAATAGGAAATGGGTTGTAGTATTAAAATTCGCTAACTGAAATTTGTTCGAAAAGGATAATTCTTATTCCACCAAAGTAAGGGAGGGCACTGAGGATGGTATAATCTATTGAAACACAAATTTGTGTACTTTTTTCATTCTTTTCTTTCTGTTATTTCCTTCTGTATAATTATTTTGTACTTGTTTTATTGTAATATGATAATATATATGATGCCCCTTGTCCCGGGGTCCAGTAAGTACACTGCAAAAGTCGTGCTTAGAAATTAAACACTTGTATTACATGTTTAGATCTAAACGTGTTTAGGATTGTGTTTAATTTCTAAACACATTTCTCAGTAATCACATAATATCTAAACATGTCTTGAATTTAAACACTTTTAATGTGTTTAAAAATGAAAGTGTTTAGAAATTAAACTTTTTTCTAAGCTAAACACGATTCTAAACACAATCCTAAACACATTGTACTGAGACACGTTTAGATCTAAACATGTAAAAAAAAGAGCACAAAAGATGTGCTTAGAAATGTGTTTAGGATCTAAACACCATTTTTACAGTGTAGGAAAGATATATTTGGTTATCGTATCTAAAATTCTTGAGAAATCGGTTTATTCTCAAGTGGAAAATAATTTAGTGAAAAAAGATTTATACAGCTTTCAGTCTGGCTTTATGTCCTCGTATTCTACGGACACATGTTTAATTCTTTTACTTGATCATATTAAGGTGTCTCGGGAGTCTTCCTCCATTTTAGATTTTGAAATAGCAGATAACGTTGGTCTAGATCTTTGATAAAATGTGCAAATTTTGAGAGTGGTATGTAATTTATGTGTAAGACTTTTGATGTAAATATAGAAAATTGTGGGTTTCATCATAATTACGGCTGTAATTTATAAAAAACCACCTTATTTGTGTTTGATTAATTTTTTTTCAACTTTGCCAAATAAGGGGAGATAATTCAGATAAAGTATTTTTTATAATAGAAAGTGTTGTGAATTTACCTATTTTAATCTGTAGCAAGAAAACAAGTTCGGTGACCCCATTTTTTCTTTTTCTTATCTGAAAGCATGTTATAAGAGCTATATCTTCACATTTTATCTTAAAATTCTATCATGTAGTTTTCTTTTTATCACACACAATTTAATTTTCCATGCATAATCTATACAAAATCTGACAATTTTGTACTACCTGTAGCGTGAAAAAAAGTCCGGTGACACATACTTTTTATTATATTTTTGAAAAAAGCATGATAAAAACTTCATTATGTCAAATTATTAAAAAATTCTATCAGTTTTAATAAAGACGCCCCAGCCACCTTAAAGCAACGTCATCTATGGGCTCTACACTGGTATGATAATGCTAGATCTACAAAAAGCCTTTGAAACAGTTGGTCATTCAATTTATGTAATAAACTACGAACAATGGGTGTAAAATTCCATAGAATGGTTTAAATCTTATTTGGCAGAGAGAAAGCAAAATGTAAATGGCTTTGAATCTAATTTTCAAACAGTTACATGTGGAGTACCTCAAAGGAGTATTTTTGGCTGGTCCACTTTTATTTAGTATTATGTAAATCAGTGGCGGATCCAGAACTTTTCATAAAAAGGGGGGGGGGCGCTGACTGACTTATGGGGGGGCCCGCTCCAGTCATGCTTCAGTGATTCCCTATATAATCAACCAAATTTTTCCCACGAAAGGGGGGGGGGGGCGGCCCCC